GAAGGAAAGTTTCCATTCAGTATTTCTTTATCAATAATTATTTAGGCTCAGTGTTATGACTCGGATAACTAAAAATACTTACTTATCGTCATCTCCACTTATTGTATAATCTTTCATAATATCATAATTTTCGTTGATGGCTCTTTCTATAATTTTAGTCGTGAGATCTATAAATTCATTAAAGTCTGACGACATGACAATACTCTTCTTTTCTTGATCGGATAAATCTGATATTTTAGATTGATAATGCGCAAAATGTGATTAGTTTTATTTTAGCATACGATTTTATTACAGAATCAAAAATAATTACAACCACTAGGTTTTGCTTCTTTCTTTTTCTTTTCTTCCTCTAATTGTTTTCGTTGTTCTTCCGCAGCAGCTTCCTTGATTTTCTGTTCAGCCTCGAACTCTTTCCAAACCTTTTCACGAATTTCTTCCTCCGATGGCGGCGGTGGAGTAAACGAAGTGTCAATCGTTTGCGCATCTTTTGTATAGTACACAATTTCCTACAATGATTAAAATTCCAGTCAAAATTTTCAGTCTTCCACGTGATCCCAGAATCCTGATCTACTCATGACAATAAGATAAAGTAATTATTAATTCACTTTTGGTGGAATATCTAGCACAATTTCGTCGACTGCAGTTAATTCTGGAATAAAACGAGTTCCCACAGCACTAGCAGTCGAGGAAAGCGCTTCGGAGCTGTTATCGACGAAATGAATGTGAGTGGAGTGCTGGTAGATTAGGTTATAAAAAAAAAAAGAAAGAAAGAAAAAAGGAAATTATCAAATAAATTTACCTCGAGGTGGTGTCGGAAGGAGTAGTCAAAGGCTTTGTGATATCCGTGGGGAGTTGTTCGGGCGTTTCTGTCGATTCAGCTTCGGGAAAAACGGGTTCCGGAGCTTGCTCCTTTTCTACTTTTGCCCCGGATTTTGAATCTAGCAAATCTCTAATAATAGCATCTAATTCATCTTTACGACTCTATTTAAGACGAAAAAAAAAAAAGATTGTCATTGAAATACATTTTACAAGATACATTTACAGAAAATTAATTATACCGGCTGCTGTACTGGTTTTTCTTTTGCTGCTGGTGCTGCCTTTCTATCTTCCCTTGCTCTCCTCAATTCCTCAAGTTTTGCCCTTTTCTTTTGTAATTCTTCCTTTCTTTTGTCAGCCATAATTGTTTTATTACAATTATGAAAGAAAGTTTTTTTTTTTTTTTTTTTTTTTTAAAAAAAAAACGAATGGTCAAATTTAAGCAAAAAAATTTTTTTGATTGACACAAAATTCCGCATATGAAAACTAAAAGGCGTTGCTTTACATGTGCCGCCACTCAAACTGGAAGGCACAAAGGCGAAAAGGGAATGTTCGATTGCATCATGTCCTTGCACAATGTACGTTTACGGGATTTCCATTGTGTAGATTTATACCACTCAAGAGCGTATTGCGGTTTCAATGTTCTTTGTCATAATACAATAAGTAGCTCAATACCAATATGCAAGTATTTTTCCGGCATAAATATCCGCAGATTAGTAACATCTCTGGGGAAAGACGTTTTACAACTATATCCATATTAAGTTGGTCAACAGATTATCCGCATGAAGAATAAAACCAAATCGATCTTTCATTTGGCTTTATAAACATTATTGTGCAACATTGTCTCTTTTAAACTATTATATAAAAGAAACATAACATGATTGCTTCTGGAAAAAATTTTTTCATCGAAACAATATGACGTCAATTATTTGGTCATTCTTTCGAACGCATGACTCTGAAAACCTTGTTTTATTACGATCTCTTATGCACATACTTACTTAAAAATGGTTGAGAGTAATAATACGCTTGAGATATTCGTGAAGATGTGGACGAACAACTATGTCATCAAAAAATTCTCGGGTAGAGCCGTGATCCTTATGTTAGACTCATCGAATATAAATGAAATCTTATTTAAGTTATAAATCGAGTCCAATAATACAGAAAAAACGGAAATATTACCCACATAAACGAAAAATTATGTTCACAACAATATAAATGCGTAGATGTTGATGTATTAAAACAGGTGCTGCGAGATTTATTTCCATTAATATCTAGTTATTTGTTGTGTCTTGTGACTTTTACCTAGGGAAGTCTGAACAGGACGAGATAAATACAGTATATTAAAAGTTCGGTTCAATTTATTTAATAAAAAATAATTCCATTAAAAAAAATCCATGTAAAACTATTTTCATTAAGCTATTTTTTCGAAAATTTGATTATGTGAAAGATCAATTGTATTTTTTGCAATAGAAAAAACTCGTCCATATAAAACATCAATAAATTGTAATCTGATAGTAAAAAGTTTGATATATTTTTTGCAATTAAATTTCTGTCATTAAAGTAATCAAATATTTCAAGTGTTAATATAATTAAAAAGGATTTTTAAAAAAATGCATTTATTTATTATTATTTATTTGATTTTTTTTTTTTTTTTTTTTTGAGTACCTATAGTTAGGTTAGATCATCAGTTTATTAATCAAATGAAGACAAAAGTACATTTTCATTCGAGCAGCATGATACATACTATAGCTAAA